CACACACACACACACACACACACCGGAACTTGGCGCGCCCCACCTGTCACGTCTCAACTCCCCACCAGTGGGTCGCGCCACACACTTTGAGAACCGCGGTGCTAAAGTAACAGAAGAATCAGACGCCTCAGTGGTGCTCCTGGCCTCCCCTGTGTTCTAAGGTTTAACTAGTTTCTTTTGTACTTTCATTAATAATTATACACAGTTAATAGTTCCTTTTCTTCATTTATCAGTGTAATTGATGAAGGTTGGGAGTTGTTGTTTTTTTAGCCTTCAGAGACAGAACATGACAATACAAGGTGTACTGACTTCCTGTTTCCATCTGAGGAACAGACCGTGTTAGAGCACCACCTTCTGCTCATAACTCAGACAGACCTGCAGCAGCTCTAGATCAGACAGAAGCTGCTCTTTCTCTATATTTCAGGATAATATTGCTTATGTAAAGCAGCTTTTAAATGTGCCGGCAGCTGATCCAGAGATCTATGCAGATCTTTTTAAATCTCTGTCTAAAAATAGATACCTTCTCTTTTTAGTGAAGAAAAGTTGTTTTTAGACAAGATAACAGATGTTATGTTATGAATAAAGCAGGTCAATGAACCAATCTGCAAACCTCAGTGAAAAAAGAAAATAATTAAGAAACTAGATATAGTTAAAACATAAAACTCAAGTATTAACATATTATAAATACAATTAAATGTTGTGAAACACAGAAAGAAATAGAACCAATACTGATTTTAATATGTGAAGTAAACTCAATCAAATCAAATGAGAGAGAAGTGTACACTATTAGCAACCAACTGATCAGAAAAATCTAAATCCATACATGCAGCATTGTAAAGGCACATAATGGTAACAACAGCGTTGTTTTTTAAAAAACTTTTTTCCAACCGCAGCCTGTGGTGAACGCATGAAATACAAAGCTACTACCGGTAAACCCACCACTTCCTTTCTGCTGTTCTGATGTATGAAGGTTTTTTTCAGTGGGGAGTCAGAAGAGTCTAAAATATTTCTAAATAAAGCACTGCTAAATGTTTTTAAAATTAAAATACATCATTGATCCTAATGTATCTTAGTAAAAGTTGGTGTTGCATTGAGGGGAATCCTAGAAAGCTGCTTAATCACTAACAAAAAAAAAAAACACCACACTAACCTCTTTCATCAGATTCTAATCATATTGTGTGTTTTTGTGATGAGAGTCTGTTTTTTTCCTTAAGAGTGTTACTTTAAAACCTGTCTGTTTCAGGCACCTCGTGTGAGGGTAGATGAGGTCAAGTCAAAGCATCAGCATAGAGGAAATCACACCTGTGGTTTTACAGAGAAGAGCTGAGAGCTCATTTCAGAGGAAACCAGCACAGCACCAGTTTTACTGCGTATCATCAAGATGACAATGAAAACATCTTTAATGTTTCTGCTGGGTGAGTAGAATATGTTTTATAAGCAGGATCATGCATTTGTTATAAATGAACATCTTAAAGCAGCAGATCTGATTTTGAGAAAACAGGAAGTTGATGGTGAAAGTAAAAACTGATCTGAGTACATACCGACACTAGCTTTATGTTTCTGATGCTTTACTAAACTATAACCTGACTGTCTTCTCTGCTCAGGTCTGACATCGCTGCTTTGCTGCACTACACACCAAGGTCAGTAAATATAAGCACAATTTAAAACTCTCAATGTAAACTAAATGAGATCGTTATATATACAGGTAAAAGCCAGTAAATTAGAATTAGAATTTTGAAAAACTTGATTTATTTCAGTAATTGCATTCAAAAGGTGTAACTTGTACATTATATTTATTAATTACACACAGACTGATGCATTCAAATGTTTATTTCATTTAATTTTGATGATTTGAAGTGGCAACAAATGAAAATGCAAAATTCAGTGTGTCACAAAATTAGAATATTACTTAAGGCTAATACAAAAAATGGA